AATTGTGGTGCAAAGAATTCAAATGTCTAGGAAGACAAAATCTGAGTTTTCAGGTGGTTCCATTAACAGCCTGTCCGCACTCCGGCGGATATCAGATGCGTCTGTGTTTTTAAAAACAGCACTGAAATTGTTCCCAGTCCCACCTCTAAAATAAATAAATGCATACATAAGCGTGTGCCTGATGAGAATGAGCTCTGCCAGCTCATCAGAATAAAATGTCAGCAAATGCCAGCAAGTTCCTGACCTTAATTCCAGCAGACGTGCCTTCCTCCCCTTTCTGAAGTTTTTTGCTTCCTTCCCAGCCCTTGTTATTTAGATGTTAATCGCCAGGTTTTATTAGGCAGAAAGGGCATTTACTTGCTGTGCTGACCTGTATGCAAGCCTTGCTTAGTGCTTCTTTCACCTGGGACTGTGCAGGTGACTGGAGGGACAAAGTGACTCCCTGCCCAAGCCCACTTGGGTTCACAGGTAGCGAGCTTTGGGATGCTCTGCTATCACATAGGTGTATGCTCTAGTGCACTCTTTAACTGCAGGACCGTGACCCTAAAAGAATTTGCTGCTATAGGATTTTGTGGAAGGACCTTAAAGCAATCTGGAGCACCCAACTATGAGCTGGATCCTACCTTTCCTATCTGAATGCTTGCCTAAGGGCCAATTTGCTTTATAATTTATCGCTTGGAGCTGCAAAATCTGCCATCTGCTCACTTCCTCTCATAGCCATGCTCTGCGACATTTCTCATTCCCACCCACATCCAGCACAATAAAAAATATTTGCATACCTGGCCAAAAGCCCTTTTATTATTGCCCTCCGGAGGCAGGGCCTCCGGAGCACAAACAGCGCACAGTGGCTTTTCCCCCAAACCCCTGTGCCGCACTGTTGCTGTGGAAGCAACACGTGCAATGATGGCTGTGGGTACATTGAATCTCTCGTTTTGGGGGCACTAGCAGCAAGAGGAGGGGGATGCTGGCCTGCTGGGCTGTGGTGTGTGCTCACCGCTGCCTTGTTTGCAGACGGTTGTCCGCTCCTCCAACAATGGTGTGGCGCAAGAGCTGTGGGGAAAGCCACAGCTTTGCCATGCTGGCAGAAACAGCGTTTGGGGTGCAAAGTGCCCTGCAAATATGACATTTCCCCATGTCTCCCAGACTAGATGAAGAATTGCAGGTGTTTTCTGTTATAGGCTGTGGACGTTACAGTAACAAATACATCCTTCTGCTGGAAATACTGCAGTATTTTCATAGCGGTGGCTTTTGAAGGGTGAGACTAGACAATGCATGCTGATGCTGGCAGGCCAGACAGCCTTTACAAAATATTTGCACAATATCAGCTCTTTTCTCGTCTTAAAACCTACTAAAGCTTTGTGATGCTTTGAAAACCACCATGGGCAAACTTGGAAAGCTCCTGACCAACTCTTTCGGGCCCTTTGCTTTTGGGTACGTTGCAGACCAGCGCAGGAGCGTGCTGCCAGCTGGAGTGACAGCCGGCTCACCCCACTGCTCCCCGGGGCACCCCAGCAGCCGCTGCCGGAGGATGTGGCGGAGCTGCCGGCCCTGTCTGGAGGGGTCTCCACAGCGGGCACAGGGTGACGGGCTTTTTTTTGGTCCGGCTTTCACCGTAAGCGTGGCAAGAACATCATCTCAACTTCCCAGGATGTAAAAAGGAAGCCTGTGAATCACGGGTGGGGTGCGGAGCAGGTTTCCCTGGGGTGCTGGGGCAGGAGCGAGGGCAGAAGCCCCCGAAAGCCCTGGGGAGCTGGGGCAAGGCTGGAGAAGGCGACGACCCCTCCGGTCCGGTCTGGGCTTTCTGTACTGCATTTCACCGCCTTCCCGGGAGATGGCAGGCCAGCTTTAGAAATCCCCAATCCTCGGCTGGCAGCGAGCCGGCAACCGCAACCTGCTCCGGGAAAAAGCTGGGCGAGAGCCCCGGGGGGGAGCGGGGACCCGACCCGCAGCGCTGCTCCCCTCCTCCGGCCGCCTGGGAGGCCGTTAGACGGATGGGTCCTTCCCAAGGTCCTTGGGGTTGGTTCAAGGTTGCACGGCCCGCGACCCCGACAGGAGGTCCCCCTGGTTTCGGGGAGGTCCCCTCCTGCTCGGGTGGCACCGGGGACCTTTGTCCCGGGGCCGCTGCGCTAAAGGCGGGCGAGCCACGCCGGCTGGCACCGGGTGGAAAGGGACGGGAGTGCCGAACCGAGCAAACCGGTCGCGCAACTTCAACCGTGTAATTCCAGAGCTTCTAATTATTGATTTTGGAAAGGGAGGAAACGGGTGCTGGGCTTGCAGGACGGACACGAGGGTGAGAGTTTAATCCTCTCCCCCGTTTTGCTGGGATCTCCTGTACCTCCTGGTTGTGGTGGTGGTGGGCTACTACTGGGATCGAAAGCCCAGAAAGGGTCTCCCAGGTGCAAGGGCAGGGGGAGTTGGTCGCTGATCCCAGAGAAAAAAAAAAAAAGGACAGTTAATTTTTGTACCATCACAGGAAGGTGGAATCATGTGAAATGCCACAGGTATCCTAAACTCCCTGCAGCCCCTTTGTGACTTTGTCTGGAGCGCTGCCCAGTACCACCCGAATTGCACTTGGGGCAACAGGCGGGAGTGGGTTGGGACAAACCAGTTGGAGGAAGAGCTGCCGCCCCTCCAAGCTGCTGTTTCCATGCTGCAGCAGTACCGAGCCACTGACAGGAGTGCCGTGAGCTGAGAGTCCAGAAACAACTGTGGAGTGAGGCTTGTCCCCAGTATTTGAAGATCTGTCCCCAGGTTGGCCCTGGGCATTGCAGCAGTCGGTGAGAACAGCCGCTGCGACTGTGGAGGAGGCCAGAGAAGCAGGCTATGGACTGCCCTGGACATCCACTACCCACCAGGGTCTGCAAAGAGCCCCAGCACTGCCAGGCAAACCCACTGGGATAAGCTGGTTTGTTCTCCAGGCTCTGAAGGCTTTCCATCGAACACCCATGTCTGTGCCGGGGGGGGGGACGGGGACTCCCCAAAGGCACCATTCACTGAGGAGATGCTCGCCAGCCCTCCCACACAGGAATTCAGTTCTTTGCCAAATCCGCAGGGCTTTGCTAGTTGTGGAAAGCCAGCAGTCAGCAAGACTGTATGTCTTTAATCAAATTTAGTACAGGAACAGAGCTCCAGAGAAGCTGTGAGATCTCTGTCCCTGGGGTTACTTGCAACCCACCTAGACGCAGCCCTGAGCCGCTGCTCTCGTCTTGAAGCTTGTCCTGCTTGGGGCAGGCGTTGGACTGGAGACCTCCCGGGGACTTCTCCACTGGCTGTATCATTCCCAGCACCTGGGACTTCAACGCTGTCTGCTAAACCTTTGCTAGAGGTAAACAGAAACCTTCAGCAAGAACCCAGAGCATCAACCACCACGGAGCAGATCCAGGCCCAAGACTGTCCCACGACTGGCTTCTGCCTGTCCCAGACTTAAGTGAGCTCAAGTGCCTTGTGGGTGTTCAGTTCTCTGCACCCTTTTTGCCCCGGGATCTCTGCAAGTGCAGTCCCCAAGCTGCTGCAACGCATGACACCGATCCCCTGCCCCCTTCCAAAAGGAGGAGTAAAGGTTTTCAAGAGCCCAGGGCTCGCTGGCATCCCATTTCGGTGGGAAATCATCCCTCGATTCGCTTGTCCGAGCACTGACAGCTCTGTGTGATCCCACTGTGAGCCCGGTGCGGGGAAGCTGGCGGCACAGCAGCTATTCCTGTACACCTCTCGTGGGCATGACCGAGCACAGGGATTTCTCAGCTGATGTCCTGTAATTGTCTGTGCCCAGCCTGTCATTATTTGAGCCTCTGGGGAGGGTGGAAAGCCCATTCCACTTTGAGGAGAAACGATAATTTTTCAGCTGCAGCTGAAGCACTGTGGCTGCGGCTGGCTCTGAACTATGTTATAAACTCAAAGGAAATTTCACCACGTCGATTCAGTCTGAAAAAAATCAATGACCCTGAATCTGTTATGCCCAGGGAAGGGTCAACAGCTAGCACCGCTGTTTGCATTGCAGTCATTTAGAAACTTGAGGCACGTGAGGGAAATATGCTCTGGCGTGCAGAACCATGCAAACAGAGCAAGGCGAGGGCTTTGGGAATTGTGGCTCTCCTGTGGAGCAGGGGGACTTGTCTGCCCTGGGAAAAGCTTGTCCCAAGCGGTGCCTCCGATGTGCGTGAAGGCCTGTGTGAGCTCTTCAGCCACGCTGCGGCGAGACGAGCTTCGCGGCTGCCTATGCAGCATCGGTGGGTGTTAAAACACACAGGGATGGAGCCCTACCTGAGGGTGCACTATGTGCGTGAGGGTAAGGGGTGAAACAGCCTGGACCTGCAGCCAGAGCTACTGCGCGTCTGGAAAGCGACTCAGGGGTGCTTTGGGTGGCCGGGGGAGCACAGTCACAGCCTTCAGGGCTTTCGTAAGGTAGGGCACAGCAGGGTCTGGTCTGGTCACAGGGACTGGCCTTTCCTTAAGCACAAGATGGAGATTTTTTTTCACCTCCAGCTCACTTGATTTCCATCGTGCCTGGTGTCGATACAAAGGGTTGGATAGAGAGTTCGTTGACCCGAGCGTTCGCAGCAGCCCAGGCTCTCCCACCGAGGAGGGATGCGTTTCTCGGGCCCCTCTCCCAAACCCCCAGCGTTCCCCCACCGCTCAGCTGCCCCCCTTCACCGCGACCACTTGCGAAGCTTTTTTATTTATTTATTTTCCTTTTTTTTTTTTTTTTTAAAAACTTCAGCGAGGCCGGACTGCAGCCCCTACCCGGCGCACTAGATGTCAGCGCTCCCTTCCCCAGCGCCCCTTTCGGGTCCTCCTCGTTTATTAACGCTTCCCTACCCCTCCCCGCCGGCTGAAAGCGGAGGGAACGGTGCGGAGACCCGCGTTTCCAGGCACCCCCGCCTCTCCCCGTCCTTCCTCCGC